TTTGTGGATTTCCTATGCACATCTCTACCTAGTTTGGTTCCATTTGCTAACTAGTACATCTATAAAAGGTGAACCACCTTCGTTTTCTACTTCAATGGTGAACTTCGTTTTCCCAACCCTCTTCATCTAATCATGATGCCTAAAAGCAAATTAGTTGTCCATATAGCAAGGTAATAATTTAAGGATTAAAAGCGCCTCTTGAATTAGGCCTTGCTCAAATTTAGCCATGTAATTATTTTCTAAAAATTAGTTAAAAATACGATCCCATAATAAAACCTCGTGTTTGTTCGTACAATTTACCAGTAAAGTGCATCGCCAGATTGGTCAGTGTCATTATTGATGCTTTATTTTACTTCGTGCTTCCAAAAATTTCAGAATGTTGGCCCAGTGTTGATTGCAGTCCCTGTGTGGCATCGTCTACGGGACTTTTAGTATACAATTTCTGTCTCCTGCTCGTCGACTAAGTTAACGAATTCTTAACTGAAATCTGCCACGTCTCAGAGATTTGTTTTAACTGGTGACAAATAAATCGTAATATTTTATGCATCACGCTACCCTTATTATTCACAGTAATTCTAAGTACGACTTCATTTTTATGTATTTTGGGCGAACTATATTCATTCGTAGGCCCAGCATCTCGTTGAAAAAGTGTGTTCATTTTCCACTTCTCCAATTCTCCGTTTGTTAACCTTGATTTAGACAACCTTTGGGTCTAGACTTAAGAGTTCTGCTTGGCGCCTAGTGATTACCTTGCATGTTAATGTCATCTAAAACCAAACACAATAAGTATACTCCAAAACATGCCATTTTGCAGGCTGTCCGGATTCAAACTAAGCGTTAGATTAGAGACTATTTAAACAAAATAACCAACATGGTGAATAGGAGGAAAGGAGTATATGAACTATTTGCGGCTGTTGGATAAGCCTAAAGAAAGATAGTGTTGGTTTGACTTCGTTTTAGCAACTTGGCTGGAGCGAAAAAGCGACCTTGCGGAACGTAACTACTTCTGTGTTCTCTGTTGTAGTATTCATGATGATTTCCAGCGTCGGCACATATTTACCCAAATTTGATATAAAGGAGTACGTCATGTATCATTGTTATTACAATGTTTTCATATTATGTCCACACTTCGTCTCTGACCTCTCGTTTGCTAAATGTTGCATTAACAGTTTTGTACTTTTTTCTAACGTTGCTAGAGATTGACATTTTCTTAATCACTCTAAGTAATTAATTTCATGTTTCATTCATATTGCTCTTTCATTTTTATTGTTTAAAAGAGTCCAATGCTCATGGATCTTAGTTGATATAAGGAACAAAGATGATATCTTCTAAATTGATAGTAAGCCGAAAAGAATTCTTATTAGGACTTAATTGGACCTGAATCCCTCCGAAAAATGTTGAGAAATATTCAAATCATAGAAGAGCCAATGCCTATTTCAGATCCCGCGATTACTAACTTGATTGTTATGTGTTCATCTACTTTTTGAACCAATTATTTAAACCTTTATTTTTTATGTTTTTTCATCGAAGGCTTACCATCCACAAATTATTTTTGCTAGTTTGTGGGTATGAATATGTGGACTTAAATTGTATTAAATTTTCATCATCATCCCTCATCCTGCTTCCTCAGACGATGTCACTACTCCTAACATTGTGGCTACCATTTCCAGCCTAGCAGCTAATGAGGGTTGGTTGCCTCGATTTCACCTCTCTCAACAGACCTTAGCGATGGTAGAGAATGGGGATACACAGCATTCGCTGTCAACAGCCAATGCCACACCAGCCAGCCTCAACGGCCTCCTGCATAAAGGTGACTCAACTGGCCTTGCTCGGCAGTCTACGGCAACTATCTCATACTCACTACGCCACACAGGTTCTCGGCTAGATCGTGTAAAGGCTAGAATATATGCCGCCACGATTGCTGCCGCCCGAGATAGTCTCGCCTTGTGTCCTCGTACTATTGCTGGCAGACATATGCCTATCAACAGCCTTTGTCGAGGCCGTAACGTAACCTCCCACTTCGTTGGTAAACGGCAGTCCCATTTGCTTTCCACGTCTTCAGAACTTCGAAGTAGATTGAGACCTCGAACTTCCGTTTTAGTCCTGCCAATTTCTCCATCCCGGACTTCACTCTGTAACGCCAGTTTGCCGCCACAAAATGACGGATCTAATAGCTGTCGGCATCTAACTTCACAATCGAAAGTTCAACAAAAGCGTGTGTCATCATTCCACTCTCGCTTTCAAAGTCGGAGAACTGACCAGCCATGCCCAGTAACTCAGCGCAGAAACCTTCAGGATACTTCCACATCCATCAGCTGGCACCATTATTTGCCTGGCCGGGAATATTTAGCACCTGAAACGACGAACCAGACATCTGTGGCATCAAATAAAGGTCACCATGAATACCAGCCTGGATCATCGTCACACGCTGACAAAGACAAAGAGAACTTTGCAGTCACCGACACGGAGAAGAGGCTTGGAGATGGCGAATCGCCAATACAAAGAAGTTCTGAAGGATTTATTGTTTCTAACTCCAACATTTCAGCCTCCCCTCGAGTTTCCCTAGTCCTAAATTCCCCTGGTTCAGTCTTTCATGATGATGCTTCTCATCCGCAACCAGTTTCATATTCAGGTTTGCTTCATTCCACAGTGTCAGACCCTCTCATGCCAGCAATGCGAAAGGCTACTAGCCGATTGTCAGATCGTCTTCTCGAGCCATCAGACCAGCTTACCTTCAGCTACCGGCCCTCGAACTCCACTACGAGCTCTGCTTCGGAGATTGAAGCGAAGACTTTGTTCGACACTGGCGCCGGGGATCATATCAACTTGACGTCATACACCACTGTTGGTATTTTAGAAAAGCTAACGGCCGAGAATGCTGATATTTTGCTCTTGCCGAATACGCCAACCATCGTCTCTGCTAGTACAGATAGTCTCTCTGACCTTCCTCAGTCATTGGCATCCGACGAAGATAAACAGCCATCTAGCAGTGCCAGCAGTAGCTCCAATACCCCGCCACCACCACAGCTAGACCGGATGCATCCGGCTGCATCTGATGAGGCAAGAACAGATTTTTACATAAAATATATATGCTTGACCATAGGTGTCATCCTTACAGTTGATCCTTCTCGAATAAAATAAGGAATTTTGAGTTCACGACCAGTTTTACTGTGTCTTACTGGTTATGCACAAACTAAGTCTGGTTTTTGGTGATTTTTCTTGTCCATCTTTTGGTATATCTTTTACAGCCCAAATTTCTTCAATAGGCCATCTTGCATACAATATTCTCACTCTTGTTTATTTTAAGGCAGATCTTCCAGGCTTGATAAGAGGATGGATTTTTGTAAATGTTTATCTCAATTATTGTTATTCTGTCTATCATGCTATCCCCTACGATGCCTTTGAATATCGCTTTTTTACTCTGGATCCTGAGTTTA